ATACCGGATTTTTAACAAATTTTTAGTTTCCCATGATCTGAAAGATGTTGTATGCACTTCTTAGTCTGAATACTATTTTCTTCAGTTCTAATGCTGCCTCATTCAGAATTCATTTTTTAAATCCAAAATTCACTGTTCACTTAAACATCTGGATTAAACTGGGCAGGGTGAGGAGGATGAGAGGAGAGTCCTTTGTGCCCTGTAGGCTCTGGACAGCTTTCTTAGAGTTGACTTATCCAGGATTAGGAAAAAGTATGCTTTTGCATGACTAAGATCTTTCTAAAGTTTGCTTGTGTAAGCATTTTAGATTTAAGAAAGTTCAACCTGAAATGCATTTGAATACAGAGTAGAAAGAGTCTCATTTAGTGGGATAACAGCAATCTAACCCTTCTAATTAATGTCTATCTCCTAAATAGCTTTTGAAAAAGCACGTGACTGGAAGCTATTTTTCACTGGCAATGCTTTATACTGTTTAAAAAATAGTAGGAGGTAAAATGTAGTAAAAACTTGGACACTTATACTGCACTTATTTATTTTGTGTTTGTTTTACAAGGTTAAAATTTTATATTTTGTAAAATGCTCTGAAAGGAGTCCACAAAGTAATTCCACTTTCTTGCTCCCAAATGCAGAAGTATGAGAGTAGGCACATGGCCTCATTAGCTTCTGGGTGTTGTCAAACCCAGTTTCCTCTCAAGTACCAAATGCCTAGATGCATTTACTGGGGATGCAAGAGTCTCACTTAAGCAAGAGTTTTTTTTTTGTCGATATAAAGAGAAGCATCTTGATTAAAGTGTGAGGAGACAGAAACCATACTGATTTGGGTGATTTCGGCTCCAATAATACCTAATTTGCGGTGGAAGGGGAACATGTTCTAAGTTAATGATCTTAAAAGCAACTTTCAAATTTCTTCTTAAAAATATTTACTTTATAAAAAAGCTGCTTGAGGAAGAGCTGTTTTATTGCATGGCACAGATTCAATATACAGATGTTATCTTAGAACTATTAATTAAGGAGTTCCCTTGTGGATGTGAATATTCAATACCAGCTGTTATTCACATCAATATTTTAATATTTTACCAGAAAGATATTTAATAAAAAGGATTGGTACATTTTAACTGTGTAAAGTGCTAGTTAAACTTGTTCAAATGGGTCAGAGGGAAAGGGAAATAACATTTCTTGAGTATCTACTATACGCACAAGCTCAACTTATTTATCTTGCTTAATCCTTATGACTATCCCGTGAGGTAGATTTTAATTCTCATTTTACAAATGAGAAAACTAAGGCTCCAGAAGGGTTGTATAACTTTCCTGAAGATACATTGCTAATAAATGTCAGAACTGGGATTTGAACCTAGGTCTCCCTGATTGCAAATCTTGTTTTGCAGAAAATCTCATATTTCATAAAATGTTAATTAACCTCAGCCCACAGTCACATCACCATCTTTGTCTATGGACAATTGGAGAGAAGTGTAAGTTGGCCAAGCCTCTGTTCCACAGTGGGAAAATTTGGGTAGGATTAGAACGTGGTAAGAGTGGGCTGCTTGCACAGTGTGCTTCTGAAGGAATGTTCTATTTCTCTCTTCATCAGCAGGGTGTCCTGGGAAAATCTTTTGAAATTGGACTTAGTCCTGAACTTTTATTATTAGTCACCTGCAAGCTAAGTGATTTGTGACCATTTAAAGGTTATGCCATTTAGAAGCCTTTGCTGGATTTTTTCACAAGATGATACAAGGGGGAGGGTGAGTAAGTGGGGAGATGAGAGTATAGAGTGTAATGTGCAAAGGCAGAGCTAGCAGCTGCTTTGTGACAATCAATTCATCCAAAAGGTAGGTGGGGAAAAGGATTAGCGAATATTAAAATTAATGACAGGAGTAGTTTGGTTCAGTTATAATCAAAGCGAAAAGGCTGAGGGCTGTAATCTATATTTTGCTCCAGATCTAATGAGTTGATTTTGAGAAAGAGGATCCAGTGATTGAACTCCTGCAAGGAGATGGCCTGGGGCCTGCTAAAAGTCAGGTGGCAATTTCCATAGCATTCAAAAAAACCAGAAAAATAAATAGGACTTTTAGAAGAAACTTCAATTTTTCTTTCATTCACTGTCAGCCCTGGGGTAGGGAGGGAGGTTGTCCCACACTTCTGGAATTGGTTAGATCTGTGCTGTAACTGTAAAATACACACTTGATTTCAAAGACTTAATGAAAAAAAGAATGTAAACTATCTCATTTTTTTCTGTTTATTACATGTTGAAATGACAGTATTTTGGATAAGTTGGGTGAAATAAAATATAATACTAAAAGTAATTTCACATGTGTCTTTTTTAATGTGGCTACTAGAAAATTTAAAACTACACATGTGGCTCACATTTTATTTCTATTGGATGGCACTGGAATGGAGAAGGGCAGTATTCCCTGAAGCTTCCTTCTGGAGGTGAGTGCCTTAGAGTAGGAAATATGAAAAAGAAGATTCTCAGTGCCAGTAGAGTCTTCCATCAGGCTAATACCACTTTTCACCTCAGATGGTGTGGGGCTGGTGTTCTGACTATTAGAGCATCCTCACTTATGCAACACTTTGAGTACCTCTGTGGATGTCTTATCAGTCACTCACTAGAAGCATTTCTTACTTTTTTTTCAAATGCAAGCCTGTCACATATTGAAGGCATCCTTCCTCCCATCCATCCATAGAAAATCTGAGTCTTGTTTTTAGGCCCTGCTCTTTCTGCCAGGGCTTTCACTAAATTTCCAAAGCAATGGTAAAGCCAATGTGGCCATTTTTGCATGGAATTAGTGAAAACTACCAAGGAAATGGAAATTATGTGGGTTAATAGTATTTATCAAATTGAGGACTTTAAGGCAGGAAGGACCATCATTTTCTAATAATAAACAATGGCTTGTTTTATTGCTCATGCAAAGCTTACATGAAGTGATTGTTTGACTCCCTGTATGAATCATGTGTTCGGGGTCTTTTTGCTTTCCACGAAATACCAAACCTAGTGTTGAGCTCATAGATACTCAATATACAAGGAATAGTATAGTGTACAGACTCCACACAAATAAAGGTGGATCTCTCTTTTTTTTAAAATTATGCTAGAGACCCCAGATACACACTATCATTTCATACTTTCTAAACAAGTTATTTTCCCCATTACCCTTTAAACACTTTATAGAATTTTTTCTTTGATACTGGAATGGAATGATTATTTTTTTCATTAGACTTTGCGGGACTCCTTTGTGGGAAGGTTAGCAAAAATTTCCAAATTTCTTTGCCAAAAGAAAGCTAAACTTACAAACATGTTCTTCACATAACCACTCAGATATGTATTCAAGTCAGCTGGCACTAAAAGGAACACAATATATTAAATATATGAGTGGGAAATTAGTGGTACATCATTACTAGACTCTGCTTTCAGTAACTTTTCTAATACAGATATGCCCTGCTTTAAGAAAGCTCAATAGATGGGTTTGTTTAAATGCACTGCAGAAAAACCTGGGCATTTTAAGTCAGACTTGATATGCAAGCAATCTGTTAGCTACATGGAAAAAAAGCCAAGAGGTCTAATACATATTTTGTTCCAAATCCAACGTTTTGCTTTTGAGAAAGAAGATCCAGTGATTGAAACTGTCCAAGGAGGTGGCCTGGGGACTGCTAAAAGTCAGGTTGTAGTTTCCACTGCATTCAATAAAACCACGAAGATTAATACAACTTTTAAAAGAAACTTTAAGTTTTCTCTCACTCATTTCTCAGCCAGTGGGTCTCATACTTCTGGAATTGGTTAGACCTGTGTTGTCCAATACAGTAGCCATTAGCCAGTCATATGTCAAATATATTCTCAGTCTTGATCAATTAGACTTCCATTCTTCCCAACTCTCTCCTCAATAACATAGTGGAGTTAGGGTTACAGTTTTTGGCTACTGAATACATGGTGATCAAATTTGTAATCATGACCTTAGTAGCACCATTTTCTGTTACTGATTCAGATTTTATCTACAAGACTAGGTACAACCAAGTTCAAAGAGATAGCATACTATGTAAGCAACCAACATTTTCTAAAGGAATACTCACGTTTAAGAATACAATTAAGAGCATCAATTTGCTTTAAAAAGCAACTGTTACCTTAGTACCTACTAGGAACGTAGTCTCTGAAATACTTATTACAGCTTTTTCTTGCTACACTAATATAATCGAAGGTGATAAATACAGTAGAAAAAAAATTAATATATTGGTGTTGGGGGCAAGGTGACACTTGTGAACTGGGTATCACAGTGAGATACTGTTTATCACTGTACTCACACTGAACATGATTTGATTTGTAGTAATTATATCTAAGACCATGTATTAGAGTGCTTGATAAAGAGGTTTTCTAGTAAAATGATTATAAATCAATAAAAAATGTTAAAAAAAATAGACACTAAAAAAAAGAGGTTTTCTTATTTTTCAAAATTAATAACCCCTAATTTTAATCAAAATCCCCAATAATGGAAATCAGATAAATTGCAACAAAGGGTTTTACACACTACTCTGATGATCGATAATTTGAAGCCCAAGGCCGTCTTGATGAAATTCTTTCTGTGGGAGACCATTAACATCGTGAGGCCAGTTACAGGAAATATTGATTTCTAAAATGTCATGGTTTCACACCCCATGGGGCCTTATGGATCTGACTTAATATGGCATGTGCAGGCCCGATTATAGGACAAGTCAGCTCCAAGTATTTCATACATTTATACTGTATTGCATGTACCATCCATAAAGCTAATGGGTAGCCCATGAAATTAGGCAAATGGTATAGTAATCCAAGGTGAATGGTGAGGATAAGGCCTCCACACCAAAAACAGTTGAATATAGTGCAACCATGAACGTGGGGGGGAAAAAAATCTTAGAATTTGAACAGGTAAACCAAAAGCAGGACAGATTCAATGCAGGTAAATGAAACTGCCAAAATACCAAAAGAAGTTCTTCAAAGGAGACTCCCACAGAACTCATTTGCTCTGCAGTGGTAAATAAATCTCAATTGATATACTTTTATCCAAGCCACAGCTGAGAGCCAGATTAACTGGGAAACAACACAGATGATGTTACATTCTTTACAGTCACCACTTCAATTTCAGTATCATCATAGAGAAGTACAGAGAATTACAATGAAATTGTGTGTGCTGAGTAATGCCACTAAATTAGCTCCCAGGAAAATTATTAACCTTTATAAGTAATTTTCACTTTTCCTCTCAGGGATAGATTTTAAATTTCACTTTAATACTGGCTGGGAACATTTCCTTTATTGCTTGGTTGTGTATTTTGAAGAAAGCAAATCCACTGGCACTTGTGGAGGCTTAGAACATAAACCAACATTAGAAGTAACAGAAACACAGAGTGAAAAGTTTTACTTTAATCACAAATTCACAACTAGAGATTTTATTTGCATATCTTAGAAAGCTAGTAAGACATGCCACATTTTTAATCGATCAGCAAAAATAAGTGCCACACGGATTTTTAATGTTCATAATTTAGAATTTATCACATAAATACATTATAAATATATCCTTTATTTGTAAAATTATTATTCTTTTAACATTTCTTTCCAACACACCTGAAATTTGCATGAGTTTTAAGGAAAAAAACCCCTGCCCTATTTAAAAATATACTAATAAACTTCCATGTGTGAATAAACCAGTGCTACCAAACTGAAAAAGAAACATATTTCTGTGTTGGATATGTAGCTGTTACTACAAATAATGACAACACGTGTCCTATACAATGATCATATATACACACTCTTGTTTCACTTTTCAGTCATTGTCAGAACCATTTGGAGGTAGGAAAACCAATGCATCATTGAAAATATGCCCAAATGCCCTAAGACGGTATACCCCATACATCATCACATGCATCTGATTAGGAGTCAGTCCATTAAAAGTAACAGCCATATCTGAACAACATCCTTCTACTACTTGGTTGGGTTGATTAGTCATTGCCTCTTTAATAAAAAGCCCAACAGATTTGGTATTAAATACATCTTTTCCTTCAGAATCTTCTGCATTTTCTGCAAATACTCCAGCATATTTCAGGCAGACTGCTAACTGCTTATCTTCAGATATCTTCCAAATCATCCCTCCCTGTTCAGGACACTTCTCTGGTACACTGAGAAGGCTGTTAAGTCTTTTCATCGATTCTATACTTAAGACAATTCCTCCTTCCACACTCACATATTCAAGGTCTCCAGATTTCACAGTGTGGCCTAGATAGAAAGGTTGTGATGGATCCTTTTTTAACAAAAAGTACTTTAAGTTTTCAATAATAGCAAATGTAGTAGGGCGTGCAAGGAAGAACCAGTTGTATTGGTCTCTATATTTATCAAAGGCGTATTTGTAAGCTTTTCTCATCATTAACCACATGTCATTTGTTTCCATGTTAATTGACTCAAACACTTTAACATTTTCAGAACTGAAGAACTCTGCTTTGTCACAGTGTTTGGTCCAAGTCTCCTTCACTGCAGCCCAGAGACTCACATCTTTGGGTTTTACAAGGATGATACAGTATACCTGAAAGCTCTTACTGAGCTCCATGCGTTCATCCTCTGAAATTTTCAAGATATCTTCTTTATTAGGAGCTTGCAGGTGATGATGCTTGTGGTCGTGCATTCTATTTCCATGACCAATCTTAATGTGTCCTAGCATAGTGATCAAGGCACAGAAAATGCTTCCGAGCATTACACCCTTCAAAAACGAACTGCTTTCAGAAAGCATTTTCCCTATAAAGAAAAAAAGATCCTTAGGATACTTAATAGAAAAGGATTAGTCTAGTGATTTGATTTGGTATTCTTCGTATACTTACCTTTGCTCTTAACATTAAAAAAAAGGTTCCCAAGTTTGAAATCAAATCAGTTGCAAATAGTATCAGGAAGTCTAAGAATTTTTTGCTTCCATTGGTATCTGATTACTGTTCAGTATAAACTGGAATTTTGCAGGAATACTTCTTTGCAGTAGAGTTTTCTGGGAGGCTATTTTTGCACTTCATCCATGGGGATTTAATTAACCAAGTACTAAATCAAAGCACTAAACCCAGAAACCAATGTTACAGAGGTTGTCCATCCATCATTCTCTTTAAAGGAATTTTGTTTCACAAGCTTGCATTATATTATGTAAATACCTCTGTGGCTATAAATAGAGTTTTACATCAAAACCTTAAACTGAATAGATAAAACCACCTACAACTGGCAAATCACCAGTGGTATCCGTACTGGCATTTGTTCTCAACTTTGCGCTTTATTTAACTGATGGCTGCTGTCCTCAGGTGTTATGAGTACATCTAAAGCATGTTTCTTGAAATTGATACCATATACATTAATATTTACTCTTTTATCCCTAAGTCCAAATGGTTTCCAATACAGCATCCCAACTAACGGATGTAATAAAAGCCCATAATGAAAATGGTTAAATTATTTGGGTTAGAACTGAGTCAATATAGACGTTATCTGGGGATCATTAATGAACATTTTTATTTCTTCCCAAGGCATTTTCTTAATCTCTGGGAAAGTAAAAAGGGGAAAGTCTACACTTTTATTTCAATTAGAAGTTAAAAGAAAAGCCAACATTAAATACAACTGCTGAGATTTTCCCAATCTCCCCTCTATTTCCACAAGGAATGGTCTACTGAGCTACTTAGATTTTCCCTTTGTCTCTTAAAGTTGAAAGGGGCCTTAGAAGTAACCAACTGTCATTTTTCCCATTTTACAGATAGGGAAACATAAGGTCCACAATGGTTAAATAACTGACACAAAGTCACAGTCAGAGGTAGAACTGAACTAGAAGTCAGATATCCTGACATCAGTTTAATGCTTGTTGTATTACAGAATATGATCTCAACAGTGTTTCTACTCATATTATTAAGAACTTAATAGGTTACTGAATAACTTTGCTTTCCTATAAATGAAAAAAAGTGGGATCCGTTAACTATAAATGGTATTTTGCACCCAACATCACCCTACTGCTACAAGGAAACCATCCTTGGGTTTTCTTTTAAAGGAAATGGACTTTGACTTATACTAGAAGGACAAGGTGTGGAACAGCTTGACAGATGTAACTCCTGAGCGTGGATGGGAGGTGGGGAAAGAGGCAGGACGGCTTTCCTGTGTTACTCAGAGAACTTGGTCAACAAACAGCTCTAATAAGGAAAAGAGAATTGTCAGGAAACAAGCTTTGCTTAATATTACAAACAGCTCTAATAAGGAAAAGAGAATTGTCAGGAAACAAGCTTTGCTTAATATTACAATTATCAGATGCATTCTAAAATTAATTTAATTTATATAGGGTTTTGGCATTTCACATTACACAATTTTCATTATTTCTGGCCAATATATGATAATTGACCGGTGTCTCTTAGCTTGATAATAGCATGTGTATGTCAGAGTTCTTCCTGATGGGGATATTAATTATGAATCATTTTCACAAATTATTCTAAGGAGTAGCTTTTTTTTCCAGCAGGGAAGGCAAAAACAAACAAAAAGTAACATTACAGATGAACATGATAGGACATTTGGTGCAGAGGAGAGAGAAACTTAAAACCGCACAACAGCACAAACAAGGCAGAAACTATTGAAGTGGTTTTTTAAATGAATCTTTTCAGGTGAAGGTGGCTGGGTGGAGTACGTAAAGAGAGGAGGATGAAATGGAGAACAGAGGTGAGGGGAAAAACGTGGTCACCTCTAGACCCCAAGGAGGGGCCGAGGGAGCGCCTCTAGGAAGGCGGCGCTCGGTCGGCCCCATTCACTGTTTCTCCCACTGCACCTGCCCGGGCACATCGCGTGGAGCATGCTGGGAGTGGGCCAGGACCCAGGGCCTCCCCGGGAGAGGGGCGGGGCCGGGCCGCTCCGGGGGCCGCTCCAGGTACCAGCCGATGCCCCAGCACTCACCCGCGTCTAGAACGGCTCAGGGGCGGGAAAGCGCAGCCGCGCACGGTTTTCGTCTCACGTTCGCGCGCCACTCGGTTACGTTCCTGTCAGGCTGCTCTAGATGCAGGCGGTGTCCTCTCGTTGGTCTCGCTGAAGGTGGGGAGGGCCAGGAAGTGGACGCCACGACGGCGCCGGCAGAGGGGCGGGGCAAAGGAGCCCTCCGCGGGGCGGAGCCGCCGGCCCGCGCCGACGTTGGAAGGACCCGCGCGTACGCAGCGCGCCCTTTCCCCCCGCCCCCTGCCGAGTTCAGAGAAGCGCGTCCTGCTGGCGTGACCCGCACGCTCGCCAGTACCCAATGGGACGCTCAGAGAGGCGTGCGTGCGTACGACCCGCTGACTCCTCCCACCTCTTCACCTTCCGGGCGCGGAAACCGAGTGAGAGGTAGAGCGTTGCACCTGGCTGCATTTGTGTCGGGTCTCTCAGTGGTTCCTCCCAGTACTCCTGGGCTGGGATTAAATGCAGGCCACTGAAATAGTCCTTAATTATAAGGGCAAGGATTCGCTACGGTTATTGGAATGGCATCTGAAGCCCCAGTGTCTGGAATCCAATCCTGTCTTCACCGCGTCCCTTGGTATGCTGGGAAAGTTACTTCACCTCGCTATGCCTCAGTTCCCGCCTTTGTAAAAGTTCTGAAAATACCGCAGTAGTGCCATGTCATACAAGATTAAATGAGATAGTGCTTTTGACTACATTAGCAAAAGACCAGGCATAGAGTAAGCATTCATTAACTGTTACCTATTATTATTATTATTCACTCCTGTATCACTAACACTTAGCCAAATGCCAGCACGCAGTGGACAATACATACATATTTGTGGAATTAACCAATGTTAGAACTCCAGATGAGGAACCACGACCAGAAAGGATAAGTAACTTCCTAAAGGCTACACAGTAATTAATAGCAAAGGTGGGACTAGAATTCGGGTCTAATTACAAGTGTAGAGCTCTCTTTCCACTATACATTAAAATTACATGTGATCTGTCTTTTAAAGTTAACTCTTGTGACAGGTTTCTTTTTTTTGCTAAAAAGCACAAAACACATTCTTATAGATTTTAAAAATGTACTGTCACCTGGTTCCATCCAAATAACTTGGTGACTTACTAGGGCCTGATTTCCTAAAGACGTGTAGATTTGAGTATTGGCAACTCAATTTAAGTGGACTGAAAATTTTAGGAAGCACTGAAACAATGAACAGATAGACTTTAGGCAATTAGCATCCTGGCAGCTCTACCCTAAATTCTGGAGATATAGTGGTGAACAAAATTAGCCCGCTGCCTTCAAGGAGCTCTGTCTAGCAGGGAAGAAAGGCATTAAACAGTTCATTACAAATACAATAACTATAATGGTGATATGTTCTCCAGGGGGATACAAAAATGAATTTTAGAACTGGAAAAGAAGACTGTAGAGTATCTCCACTGTATTTTGTTAAATAATACATACTGTCAGTTGTCACATATATAAATATATGTGTATGAATATATATGTACATACATAGTTAAGAATTCAAGTTGCAGAATAATGTGTGTGGTATGATTACACATTGGTGAAAGCAAACAAAATTTTATATGTGTGCACATATGCTTGATATGTTGGTATGAGCAAGGGGAGTTGTGGAAGGCTCCTCAGCAAGCTGTTAATATTGATCACCTCAGGAGGTCAAGATGTGGGTGATTAGCTTTGTCTTTATACATCCTAATATTGCATTGTTTCACTGGTTTCACAAGCATTTATTTTTGAATTTGAAGAACAGCAAATAAAAAGATCTTGGACAAAAAGAGTAAGAGGAAAAGATACCAATAAAAATACCTTTTAGAGAGTGCAGAGAACCAGTCTCTCTTTGTAAAAAGAGACCAAGGAAACACAGATAAACATGGCACTCAGAATTCAGACAGTGGCAAGGAGTCAATTAAAAATGCTGCAGCTTTCTAGTACAGGAAGGTATACCAAACTGGAAGTACTGATATAAGATGCTCTGAAATAGAATAAACCATGGGATTTTCAACACCAAAAGCACTGTTAATGAGAGATTGTCTAAGAACCTAATTCTCTGCTTAAATACACTTAGCATTTGAAATGAGGTTAGTGAGATTGACTTGTAGGTAGGTGATTGCATTTTAAAAACACCATTCCACATTGTAGCCCTAATTTAAAAATACATGCAATTAGTTTCTGTTAAAATTAAGAATATTTGTAAATATTCTTTGGCTTGGCAAACCCACTTCTTAGAATCTCTCCCCTAGAAATTAAAGCACCAGAATGCAAGCTAAATGTATAAGGTCAAATGCATTATTGTTTATAATAGTGGAAAACATCCATCAATAAGATAATGGTTGCATTAATTATGGTACATCTATATAGTGGAATATTAAGCATAAAATAAACAGCTTATCTCACCTGCACTAAACACTTCACCAGACATACTAACCTGCACCTTGTGGTGGGGAGGGTTGCTTTTGAATTTGGTTGCCTTCATGTACCCAGCAGGTAAGGCAAGACTGCATTCAAAATTGACAACACTGCATTTTTGGCAAAGCCTTTCTGCCAAGTGCATGCATTATTCAGCATGAGAAGTCATTAATTTTTAGTAATTGGTGATCACTTGCATGTAAGCACTCAAAATTTTGAAATCTGTTCAAAGGCCTTTGGGAAATTAATGTGACTTTCCACAACAATTCACTGGAATAATAAATATTGAAGAAAATCTAAGGTGGATTGTTTTCTGCATAACATCTTTTTGGAGAGTTAAAAATGTCTTTTGTGTTTATCAAAATTAAGTACCTGTAATATATGTACCTCCTCTGCCCAGAATTTCACAACTGTTCATCTTCAATAAACAAATTCCCTCATCTGAGCAAATTCATTATTGTTTCCATTAGAGTGTAGTTTAGTCCCTAAATGAATCTCATTTGTGTTTTCAGGCATATTCATGCTTGCAGTCTCATTTCAAAATTTTTCCATTTGATGGCCATCTGGAAGCTTTCTTTTTTTTTAAATTAACAACCCCATTTGCCTGCCAACAAGTATGTATTAAGTGTTTACAGTAAGTCAGTCACTGTGTTAGGTATTGTTTTCTCAAAAACCTTTTTCATTATGGGGAAATTCAAACATACACAGAAATAGAAAAGTATAATGAAATCACATGTACTTTTTAGTGAAGTTGCAGCATCACCAGTTCAAAGCCAGTCTTGTTCTATCTATACCCCTTCCAGATTATTGTGAAGCACTTCTGGGACATCATGCCATTTCATCCACAAACATTTCAAAATGTATCTATAAGAGATAATGCCTTCTTAAAAAAAAACAAAACCTCACAATACCACTAGAAAACTGAAAAATAAATAATTTCTTAGTATACTTAAATATTCAATCTGTTCAAATTACCAATAGTATCGCAAATGTCATGATTTTTTAATAATCTGAATTAGAATCCAAATAGTCTACACATTGTGATTGGGTTTTGTGTCTCTTAAGTCTCTTTTTTAGTCTATAGGTTTCTCTCTCTCCCTTGATATTTCTTTGTTGAAGTCTGGTTGTTTGTCTTGTACATTTACCCACAGTCTGGTGCAGATAGCCTCATTCTGGTTCCTTTAATATGTTTTTCTTTCCTTTCTGTTCCTTATAAATGGGTAGTTGGAGCTAAAGTAGGATTGCCAGATTTAGCAAAACAAAAAACAAAAAAAACAATGAATACATTTTTAGTATAATTATATCCCAGATATAACACCTGGAACATATTAAATATTGCATGGGACACTAGAAATTATTTGTTGTTTATCTGAAATTCAGTTTTAACTGGGCATCCTGAAATTTATCTGGCAACCGTAATCCTAATCTAAAAGCTTTGATTCAGGTTCAGTTTTTGGGAGGGGTGGAGGATGCAGTTACTTCATAGATGGTGGCGTGTGTTTCCTTCAGAAACATTATGTCTGGGTGTCTTTGTCATGATCGCTGCCATTGATGCCTAGATCCATAATTCATTAGGGTTGCAATATGGTGATCTCCTAATTTTCCAAGGCATATTTTTAAGAGGAAATTTGGTGTAGTGATTTAGTGGTCAGGCCCTGGCACAGGGAAGACTTGGTTTGCACTCTGGCTCAGCTGCTTTCCTAGCTGTGTGACCTAGGACAAGTTAGTTCACTTCTCTCAGCCTTAGCTTCCTCATCTGTAAAACAAGGCTAATAATAGTACCTATCTCATAAGTTTTTTTTTGAGAATCAAATGAGTTAAGTTGTATGGAGGATTTAGAACAGTGCCCAGCACACAGTAGATGCTCATAAGAGCTGGCTATTATATCTAATGAGACTTTTGAAGATTTATGACCTTTCAAATTCAGGGTTTCCCAATATTAAAAACTTTAAATCCTCCACTCAGCAGTTAAGTTATATTTTCACATAATTAATAAAAATAACAATAAAGATGTATTGAATGAGCAGCCTCTTCTATTTGTCCAGTGCTTTTCAGTTAACAAAGGCCTTCTTCATTTGATCCTCATAGTAGCCTGTTAACCAGAGGACTGGTCTTAATTTGTTTTTAAACCTGAAGAATCTTGGGCTTAAGGAGGTGACTTGCTCAACTTGCAACATAGCTAGTAGAGTAATGACTGAGTCCTAGCCCAAGACTCTTTTGATGGGAAGCATTACGTGAGGAAAATGGTGTGGTCCTCCCTCTGTGCAACACTTTCATTTCTTGGTTCCAATGACAACACTATCTTGTTTTCTTTTTCAGCTTTTTAACTTCTTGTTTCTTTCTCAAACTGTTTCCTCCATGTCCTCCATTCTGGTCTCTTTCTCCTCTTCCCAGTGTAGTTGTTCCCCAAGGTTCTATCCTTGGGCCATATTTATTGTTATATTCTTCTCCTTTAATAGCTCCTCAATAGCTTTATCTATTCAAATAGCTTCAACCATTCCCTCTGGGAAGAGGATTTCCAAATCTATATATCTGGCCTCTCTTGAATTTGGGACCCCAGATTTCAATTGCCTGCTTGATATCTCCATATAGCTGCTTTAGACAGAATCCTGCATTCAATGGGTCTGCTTATCTGGATCCTGATTTTAACCAACTATATAAGTCAAACAAGGAGCCAATTGAGGAAGTTTGAATACTTACTGATGACACCAAGTATTTGACGACATTAAAGACTTAATGTTAATTTTTTAGGTGAAA